GACATGGAAGGGCTCCTTTGCTGAGTTCCGGCCCTTTTCCTTTGGTCTACTCACTTTAGCATCTTTCAAACCCTGTTTACATGTTAGTCTAAATCATTTAAATCTGCCAGAGCCTCACCAGCCGTATACAGGTTACACCTGACCACGGACGGGGCTTAGCACTGCCACCAAAGCTCCATACCAATCCCGTGGGCCTTGCTGAATCCGTTTCTTAAGTCTCCTGTAAACACAGTCCTGTCTGGGCCCGTGAACTGGGCATTAAATACAGCTTCCCTCATGCCCAGTTCACTCAACAGAGCCTGTCCTTCTTCAATGGTTTTGCAGTCTGTAGTACTCATGGGAATCTCAGCTGAAATTGCCCAGGTATCCCAAATGGCTCATATGAGCCAATCCATTATGGGCTGGTTTCCCTCATGTTGTCTTAAATTGTGAAGTCTTCGTCTCAATGAGTGGTTAGGTTGCTTAACTTCTCTGCTTCTGTAGAACTTAAAATGATCTGCCCCCATACCCCATAGCCTCACAAGCTAGGTGGCCACAGGCTCATTCATAGCTTGTTTAAATGTCTTTCTCAGTTCTAATAGTTCTGGTGCTGAGTCTTCTCTGATTACCATGGTCTCCTGCACTGGGCTATTGTTAAGATCTCCATCAACATGTTGGACCATGGATTTTCCCTTTCTTTGAATTAAAGGTCGGACCCAAGGAGCATCTCCCACTATCTCTAGGTCACCTCCTTCTTCCTCACTGCCCGACTGTTCCCAGGGGTTGCAGGTTTTGTGATCCCAAGATGGGCCTTTTACTATCATTCTAATCTGGGCTTTTTTCCCCTTTTGACCTCCTAGATGTAAAAAGTGACATGCCAACACCTCCATCTCCTTTTCTCTCTTATCTAATTTACTGGCAAGGTCAGAGGCCAGTACAGAAGAGGCCAGCCTCATATCCCTCTCCCGTTCTATTTCCTCTCTGAGACCTTCAGTTTCCCTTCTGGCTAAGGCCTCCACTTGGGACAGATTTCTTATTATCAACAGCAGCAGCCAAGCAGCCTCTGCAGCTGCTTTTTGACATTTCTGTCCCTGGTGTGCTACCCCCAGAGATTGCAGAATCTGTTCCAGACCTTCTGCTGTTTCCATACTCATGTGGCAGCCCCCGCCAGTCAAGGAGTGCCACCCCATACCACCTACAAGTTGGCTGCCACCCTGGGAGCTCTCCCATAGCTCTCGACTGTTTAGAAGACCTCACCCAGTTACACATCTCACTGCCCACTGCATTAACCATGCCACTGCAGCCACCCCCGCCAAGCCTATGGGAATGGCCCACTAGGTTAACATTTCCTCAGCCCACACCCTCCCCTCACCCCACCTTACTTTGGTTGCTGGTCTCTTTCCCCATATCAGGGACATCAACGCTCTTCCAAACTCATTCTCAGTTTTATTGTATCCATCCGGCTATGCCAATGGTAAGTCAAGTTCACTGCTGGGAGGTGCACGTGGCATCCAATCCCCTCCTCCCACAGTCCTTGACAGATAAGCAGGTGACCCCCATTCACGGCTGTGTTCGAAAGTCCACACCCAGAACCACCCTGTGGTTCTGGACAGTCTTACAAAATGGCCCAAGACCAGCCTCGTGGTTTTCCCAGCTTTTATCCCCTTAGCCCCTCCCCTGCAAGCAGCTATGGTCAACCATTGGCTGGAAGAGGGAAGGGGCGTAGCTTCTTTGCAGAGCATGGGAAGGAGGTAGGTCTATGGCTTGTCCATCACAGGGTCAGAGGAACATCCAGTCACAGCTGGTAATTGATATGCCTTACAGCAGCCAGAATTTAAAAAATGCTTCCTGACAACAAATATCACTTCTAGAAACGTACTTCAAGATATATGCACTGTTTGAATCAAAAGGCACAGTTATCCACTGCAGGCTTTTGGGATAAAGAAGGGCTGGAAATATCCCAAATGTCTAGCCAGGGGGTCTGGCTGGTTGAGGGAATCCTCTGCCATACAAAGAAAAAAATGAGGCTCCTTACAGATGATTAGCAATGACTTTGAAGATCAATTATTAAATAAAAACAAGGTCTAAGAACAGAACACTACAAACATGCCAACATTTGTAGAACAGTGGGGCAGTAAAGGCCACTTCTGACACTGCAGTCTATCTCTGGAGGACGGCAGGAAACTGCTGCACTAGCCTTCTCTTTGGAAGGGAAGGGCCGGGAGAAAGGGTGTGTTTATCATGTGAGCCTGAGACAGACCTGAATGCTCCTGAAAACTAAGATCCAACAGCCACACCTGCATCAGCATCAGCCTGTCAGCTTCACCTCAGTAAGTATGCGGTATGTGTGCGTGAGCACGTGTGCACGGGTATGCATGCTCAATCTAAAGGCCAACCTCAAAAGCCTTCTTCACTCACTCCCCACCTTGAATTTTGACGCTGGATCTCTCAGCAAGGCCTGGGGTCCACAGTGTCAGCTAGACTAGCTAGACAGAGACTGAAGGGACCCCTCTCTCCCTCCCCAGGTCTGGGATGATGCGCCTGGCTTTTCTTTATGTAGGTGCTGGGACTGAACTGAAGTCCTCATGCTCAAACAGCAAGTACTTCACCGAGGCAGCGCCCGAGCCTCTCCCTTCAGTTTTTCCTGCTGCTGTTTTCCCGTTGGTGTTTCTCCCTATTTATATCCCCTCTCCTTTCCCTTCATTAAGACTGAAGCAACTTTGTTCCCTTTTCCTTCCTCTAGGTATCTGACAGTTGTGCTTCCCAGGTTTCTCTCCCGGCTGCTCTACCCTGAATGGAGGGAAGATGGCAGCAGCACTATGATGGGGACTGAAATTGTGCTTTTCAGCTGCAGTTTGGGGGCCACGACTGAACTGAGTCACTGGAGTGACCCACTTCAGGACAGACTCCTTCCCCCGGGGAGCTCGTACTTGTGACTGAAGGTGGGCCATGCTGGCTCTACTCTCTTAGCCCAATGCCTACCAGCTGTCGAGCTCCCCACAGGACTCACTGAGGTGTTGTACCGGCAACACAGCCATCTCAGCTTCCTGCATACCAGGTTCTGATCCAAGCTGCAAATTGCTAGCCGAACCTGATTTTCAGACTTGGCTTCACCAGAGCCAGATCAAAAATGCTTACTCGCCGGGCGTGGTGGCACATGCCTGTAGTCCCAGCACTTGGGAGGCAGAGGCAGGCAGATCTCTGCGAGTTCAAGGCCAGCCTGGTCTACATAATGAGTTCCAGGACAGCTGGGGCTTTCAGGGAGACCCTACTTCAAAAAGACCAAAAAAAAAAAAAAAAAAAAAATGCTTACTCAGGCCAGTGAGGTGGCGCAAGCTCCACAGGCCTTCTGCTTCTAGCTCCCCACAAGGCTGTTGTTTCCAGGTGGTGTCTGAGGAATCTCTCCTTAGTCTGGACACAGGCTGGTCCTTGGCTGGCATCTGGCCACTTGGATTCTAGCGTCACAAAATGCTGAGCATACTTCCTTCTGCCCCAGGAGTCTACAATTTGGACGTGCCGGGTATAAGGTGCCTATGTCCTGCCCTCCTCCCCAACAGAACAGATGACAGCAGATTAGAGCTGACTGACTGCAGAACCCTGGAATCCACAATGACCTGACAGACGAACAGACAGGGGAGCTGTGTCTGTCGAGAATGCAAACCAATGCAGGAGTAGACAGTCTGACAAAAGCTGACAGCTGGGCATGGTGGCTCATGCCCAGGATCCCAGCACTTGGGAGGCTGAAGCAGGAGATCTCAAGTTCAGGACAGCCAGGGTTAATAACAAAACCCTGTCTTGAAAACAAAATCAAGCAAAACCCCTAGAATCAAAAGAAACCTGAAGGTGGAAAGTCTGTCAAGGAAAAGGAATTCCGTCTGGAGACACCTTCCTGTGCAACATGACACTTCAGAGAGCACCGCAGCCGGCAGACAGACGGTGTTGTACTGGCTTCCACCACACAGCAGACAGAGCCACCAATATGGTGACAGAGCCCTGGCCAAACAGCACTAGTCACAGAGAGAACACACAGGAACATTCTAGAAAGTCACCAGCCCATTCCCCGTAAAAACGTCTCCATTTTTAGCAACGGACACACTGGTATCAAGGACTGATAGAACACACCTGCAACTGATTCTCACTCAGATGAGAAAAAAGTGCATGACATACACACAGAGAAAACTCTAACCAAAGAACTTCGCCTGGAGAATTGGGGTCAGGGGTCAGTTTCCTGCCGAGCGGCAAAGCAGATCGAGACTGAGGAGACAAATCAGCTGCTGTATGCCTGGCCTGTCTGTGCACACCAACAAGGTTGGCAGTCCATGTGAGTGGACTGATTGTGTGTGTGTGGGGGGGGTGCTGAAGAAGCTCCTTTGCTCTGGAAATTGCCACAGACGGAACACTGTGCTGGGGAGAGGGCTGGTGCAGGCTCCTGGCTAGATCTGAGCAGGCTTGTATTTGTGGAAGCCAGCACCTTCCCACTCTGCTCTACCTCTGCATTGTTTTGAAATGAAGGCTTAAAAAGATTTTATTTAATTTCTGTTTGAGTGTTTTGCCTGCATTTATCTATGTATACCACATGCATGCCCAGTTGCCAATGGGGGCCAGAAGAGGGCACTGGGACCCCTGGAACTGGAGTTACAGACCATTATGAGATACCATGTGGGTGCTGGGAAGAGAACCCAGGTCCTCTGCAAGAGCAGTGAGTGATCCAAACTGCTGAGCCATCCATCACCTCTCCATCCCCTACCTCTCCATTTTTAAATCCTGAAACAGTCCACCTCGGCTAAGTTGTCACCAGCACGAAGACTCAATCAGAACAAGCCTGGTTCTGTGCTAATGCCAGGGTCAAGGGCCCACTGGCTCAAGGCCCAGTCTGTCTCACCTCAGAGGCAGGAGGCAAATCGGAGGTAGCCCAGCTTTAATGCCTCCACCAGCAGAGACAAGAGGGCTTTGGTTCCACTTAACCTACCACATTTCTTCCTTCTGCTTCATAAGAGCAAAGCCAAGTCACAAGCAAACACTCATTATCGTAACAGTTCTTTAATTACCCAAGCAATCCCAACCCCATTTAAAAATAAAACTGCAAAGCACCCCCAGAATTAAAGCACAAAAGGGTCCCCCAAACTGGCATCACAAGTGCCACAAAGCCCTCTCTGGGAAAGCTTGCTTCGTCTTTCATTACAAAGGCACAGAGTCACCTGAGGCCTCAGGTGTCAGCATCACTGCAAGTCAAGGTCGCATTCGTGTGCAACCCAATCCATCATTAAAGTGTAGAGCAGTTCCCCAAGATCCCACAAGGAGCTGCAGCTTCTCCTATAAATAATTTAAAAAAAACTACACCTTAAGGCCAGTGCAGGCCTAACACGGGATCTGACATTCTGAGGGGACAGGTTTTCTTCAGTCTGTACGGCAGACACACTGACCCCACTCTGCCAAAACTCACATGTGGCCAGTCCCTAAATCCTACAAAATTCTTCTGGCCAGCTCCCTCGCTGCCACTGCTACCATCCCATTTCCAGGTTTTAAAAATATAAACTGTGGCTCCGGGGATCCTGGATTTGCTCCCCAACACCAAGTGTGGTAGAAGTCAGGTCAGTGTGTGGGGTGAGCTCACCGGCGGGGTGGCTCAGCCACAGCCGGGTCACAGGCTGGGCTGTCTGGGATGCCAGCCTCTGGGACACTGGCCTCCTCTGCTGTGGGTTGGGCACCTTCCTCATCCTCAGGCTGCTCAGAGCTGGCCATACTCTCCTTGGTGGCAAGGACCTCCTTCTTCTTTTCGCCCAGCACCTCTAGCCCCATCATCCTGAGATAATGAAACCGCTCGTTCTTGGGCACAAAAGTTCGAATGGAAGCCTTTCCCCGCCATCCACACAGCACAATGGGACACTGCAGGGCATCTGGATTCCTGGTGGCAAGATGGGGCCACATAAACGTTAAACATTCTGTTAATGGCATCTAGCGATACCGATATGCAACCTCCCGATGAGGACGGTCCACCTGTGGTGATCCTTCTAGAAGGGGACTGTCTTCCAACTTCATGCCCTAGATACTTCATGCCCTAGATACTTCATGCCCTAGAGTTGACCTTCTAAGCTCACAGGATCTCCCCACCCTGCAGTTCTCCCCACACCCTCCCCTTTCAAGTCCTACTTGTGCACTGAGCATCCTGACAAGAGCAAAAAGCATCTGTTCTTACATCTTCAAGTCACTTTAGGGTGTCACTGTGGAGTTAACTGTGACTCTGGGGTGGGGAAGGGGTGTTGAGGGCTGTCGGTCACTACACAGCAGCATCAGGCCAGGGACCAAGATGCCCATTCTTTTCCTACTCAATTCTCCAAACCAGGGTCTCGTCTCTCTTGGCCACCAACATGACAGTGCTCCTTCTGTGCACTCCTGCTCCAGCAGGCAGTGTCCCCTGCTCCCCCCACCCCACAGCCTTCCCAACATGCTGCGCAGCCAGGGCACCGCTCCCTTGCTCTGGTGAGAGCACTGCCTTAGGATGCACTGTCATGTTCTTCTCAGTCATTGGTAAAGACCCCTGTTCAAGACATACAGGTTTTCCTATCTTCCACCAGCCTGGGCACAGGTCTTAACAGCGCTTCTTTTAAACTCTCTGGTGGTGACTCGCCACCCTGCCATGCAGAGCCACATCCCGATCACTTTTTACACAGCAAACATCACTAGCCACCCATACCAGCTCTCCCTCACTCTGCTCCTTCCTCGGCTGTCCCCACTGCCTCCATGGCACCTCTTCTAAATGGCTAACACTGCCTGCCCTCACAGGCTAGGTGTGGCATCCCACTGCCCCCTAGTGCCTGCAATGTCTGCAGTCAACTGTTCCTGCTACCCCAGTGGCTCCCATGTTTAGTTTACTAACATCTACTCTACTAGGGAGCTACCAAAAGGCAAGGCCTGAAAAGCCCAAACCTTGGACCCTCCAGCCCTAACCTTCCAAGTACTGGGCTTTAGCCACAGGCCACCGTGCCCAGCTACATGTCCAACGGCAAGGGCTACACAACTTACGTAGTATCCGGTTCATACTTCAGTACAATACTCCCCTTGGCTGGAAGAGAAACAGACACACATTTGCCAAGGTTTTCATAAGTGGACACAACTACTCAGCACACTATGTGCTATTTTCAAGGGAATAATGACTTCCTGGACCCAGGGATACAGGCAGAAAGGTTCACACTACTTAGCAAGACTGCTTGAGGAGCAGGAGGTTGAGGGTTAACTACTGATCAATTCTCCATACTCAAGTCCCTACTCCCAGAAATTTTACACATATGAAAATTATCAAACCGTGTACTCCAACCATCTCAATGCAGGACTGAGGCCAGTGAGATGGCCCAGTGGGTAAAAGTGCTTGGGATGACTGGAGCTCAACCCGAGAAATCACGTGAAAGGACAGAGTAACTCCTGAGGGTTGACCTCAGACCTCCCCCACCAACATCACCCACATACATAATAAAATTTCAAAAAACGGGAGAGTATAAACAGTTCCTGTACCCTGTCAACCACTCTCCTTTGAATAGGGGCTCTACCTGAGGGGGCAGGAGGCAACACTCGCCAGTGTTCTGTACTCTGCAAATCTGCAGTTCACACCCAAGGAAAAGACGAGGCTATACAAGTGCAGGACAGACTATGCAGCTCACAGACTGAGGCAGACATGAAACAGCCTCATAATTACATAGGACTGAGTCATACTCTCATAGTTTTTAGCTCTAGGTTACTTAAAATTTCTAATAATGTGAATGCTGTATAAACAAACAGTTGTTATTCTGTATTACTAGGAAATAATGACAAGGAAAGGAGTTGGCATGTTCCGAACAGACATTTTAAAAATCAGGGCCCCATGGATTAAGAATGACCTTGAATTTCTGGTCTTCCTGACTCTACCTTCCAAGAGCTGGGACTACAGGCGCTGTGTCACCACATTCAGTTTATGTGGTGCTGGGGATCAAACCCAAGGCTTCATGCATGTTAGGGACATTCTCTCTCAACTGAGCTACATTCCCAGACAGACACAATGTTCTTTCTTCAAGTACTTTCAATCCATAACTGGTCCATTCTGAGGATGTGGAACCCACATATTTGGAGGACTGACTGTATATGACTAAGAAACATGCTACATGTTCAAACCACCCATATGCCTGAAGTTCCTTTACTTACCCAGGTCCTTGACCTGACTGAATGTCTCACTGCTGAATTTCCTAAAGAATGGGTTCTCTTGGGTCAACAGTACCTTCACATCTTCCAGTGATACAGTAATGATTCTTGATTTAATAAATGGATACAACGTATATATCCCCTGTGGGAATCAAGAGAGAGATGCTGTGAGACCATGCTTCCAAAGTCTCACTCCTGGGTCAAGATGTAGGCCCAGAGGATCGACCTCAAGGATCTCTGAGGTGACAAGACTGATCCCGGGTCAGTACTAGTCAGGCCTTGAGGTACTAGACCCTCCTGGCAGCCCCAAAGGCCCCTCTCCCGGTTCTCATTAGCGTAGGGCTAGGGCTTTGAGGTTCATTTCAAAATTACCTCCTGTGCCAGACGGAAAGCGCAATCAAACTCCTCACCACCGTTATTGCGACACCAGACTTTTATCCCTGTGTTAATAACCTGTAAGTTAAAAAATAAGATAAGGCCGGGCGTGGCGCCACACGCCTTTAATCCCAGGGGGAGGCAGGTGGAGCTCTGTGAGTTCAAGGCCAGCCTGGTCTACACAGTGAGTTCCAGGACAGCTGGGGCTACAGGGCGACACTGCCTCAAAAAGACCAAAAAAAGAAAAAACACAGGAATTCAGGAGACCAGAACTGCTGATTCAGCCCTAGGTCTTTGAGGACTTTCAGAGATATCCCAGGGGGAGGCAGGTGGAGCTCTGTGAGTTCAAGGCCAGCCTGGTCTACACAGTGAGTTCCAGGACAGCTGGGGCTACAGGGAGACACTGTCTCAAAAAGACCAAAAAAAGATAAAACACAGGAATTCAGGACAATCAATGACAACAATCAATGACAACAATCAATCAATGGCAAGGCTGTGTGAGCAGCTGGGAAAGGGATGGACACAAACCGCTCTTACAGCAACAGGCTTCCAAGAAATCAACCCACAGTTGCAGCCACCTGTGCATCCACAGCACATGGCCACACATAATCATCAGAACAGAAATTACACAGGAATACTTTCAAAACACAGGTCAGCATACATCTCACCAACCATCAAGACAAGGGGCTGTCTCATGTCACTGCCCCTGAGCCCAGCAGACCCCAGAGAGCAGAGCAGAACTAAGGTCCTGCATGACCGAGCCTGGCCAGGACAGCACTGTGACCAGGGCAGCAAACCCCAGGAAAATGTGTGAAAGCATACAGCACAGGGCCTCGGGGCTGGCAGGCAAGCACCTGGCCCTGCTCCTCCCCTGGCAGGCCAGTCCCCCTCACAGCAGCTCCAAGTGTGGCTCTACCTTCATCCTCTCGCTGTTGTTCAGCAGCACGTTCCTCAGCTGCCTGGAAACCATGTACAGCTGCCGCCTCTTCCCCTCTGTGCTTCTAGTCAACAAGTTCATCTTCGGGAACGAAGGATCCAAAGCATAAAACTTCCTGTCCGCAAAGTAGCACTGCTTACAGTCAAGCGTTCAGATCACCGCACACATCTCACCCTCCCTACAGAATCCAACTTCTGCGACTGCAGTGCAGCTCCCGAGCACTCAGGTGCAGCCCTGGACTCCCGCCTGCAGGATTAGTGTTGAGGAGAACCAGCCAGGGCCCTCTGCCAGTCAAGAGTAGCCTCTGCCTCAACTGCTACTCTAATGACAAAGAGCCAAGATACCTACACTGTGTCAAACTTGAGACTTTACAAAGGTAAAGGCCACTGACCTCCACACTGAACGGGGTGAGCTAAGCCACTGGATCCCAGTCGAGAGCTCCTCACTGGTTTTTACCTCTAGGCAGCTTACTTTCTCCTTCACTTTAATGAAAGCTAGGTTCATACCTCTCAAGTTCTACCCAGTGCTAATGCAAGATCAGGAGGGGAAGAAAGCTAACTAAACAGCAGCTGAATGTGACCAATAGCGCCTCTGTACCTCAACAATAGACTTTCAAAATGATGCAGAAGGCTGAATTGATCCTTACTCAAGAGGTGGGAATAATGGATCGTCTTCAGGAATAAATACAAATGGATCTTCTTTAAATCCAAATAACTTCATTTTCTTGGAAGGAGGAGGCCTAAAGACAATAAAGATGGGATTAGCCCATCAGCAACCCTGGGAGGACACTCGTACCAAAGCCCTCATCCTGCCACACCCAGTGCTCACCCACGTTCTGTGCAGCTGGGACTTCCACACGAGAGTGCAGAAAGCAGCCATGGACACCCTCTACCCTGCACACAGCACACCACACCAACTGTGCTACTTCCCAGCTCCCATGCAACACCCTTATGGCAAGACTCTTGGGTCTGATCAGTCTATCAGGGCAGCCGGGCTCAGGTCATTCCTCACCCACACACGCCGTCTTTCTTGTGCTCCATGTTCTCCGATGTGCACATTATTTCTGTGTCTACAGTTTCAGTGACCATCTGACTTTCCATCTCGGAGGGGTCACAGGGTTTCCCCTCTGTGGTGGTCATGGGGCTTGGCTGTGTGGTCCCTCTGATCTCTGAAGACTTACTCTGCACCTGTTGAAAGGACACCTTCATTTCCGCACACAAAAGTTAACATCCTGCTGCAGGAAAACTAAAACCACCAAGACTGGGTAAGAGAAAATACTCCTTTTGTTGTTTTGGTTTGGCTTTTGATCCTTTTGAGACAGGGTCTCCCTGTAGGCCTCCCTGTAGTTCCAGCGGGCCTGGAACTCACTATGGAGATCAGCCTAGTCTCCATCTCACATGGATCTACCTGCCTCTGCGTCCTAGCTGCCAGGATTAAAGGCGTGAGCCACCATGCCTGGCTGGTCCTCAGGAGAAGCCTACAGGGCTAGCCTGATCTAACCCAAGAACACTTGAGTCCGCATTGAGGAAGGCATGTGGAGAACAAAAACACAGTTCCCTGCAGGACCAGGCAGAACCAAGCACATCCCTGCAGTATAAGCAGAGGGATTCGGGACTGCTTCAGGCACAGCAATGAGGAGCATGTCTCCAGGGCCCCAGGGTGCTCTGTGAAGAGTCAGGGCCACTGAGCATTCACAAAGTGTTCTATTTACATTTTAAACTTCCTTTGGTCCTGGGGTAATGTAGCTCAGTACTCAAACCTAGCTGCCTAGCATCCACAAGTCTGGGAACCAGCCCATGCTAGTTCAATCACAAGCAATACCAGAAAATGTAAAAAGCTATGTGTCCCTGCTCATTTCAGATTAGTAAAATTAGTTATTCTCAAGTCTATCATCAGAAATAAGTTTACAACTAAGGTTACTTCTGTGCAGCCAAGTTCCACACTGTCCCCAGGTCACCAAGCTGGTAAGGGAAGAGCCATGATTGGACTCAGTCCAAACCCAACTCACAGGAGCACTGTCACCTCAGCCTATTTTCCACAAAAACACCTCCTGTCATGTCAGTCGCCAAGGGTCTGAATTCTACCTGGTGTTCTCTGCTGCTCCGTGACTTAGACCAGATCAGACATGACCTCATCATCAAGGCGGCACCAGCAGCACACACTGCTCACTCACACACAAAGCAGGGCAGACACACAAAACTGGCTAAACCAAGTAAGGGACAGACAGAAGAGCAGACAGGGAAGTGCGGATGAGGAATGCCGTACTAGTCACTTTCCTGTTGCTGTGATGACACACTGTGACTGAAGCAACTAAGAATTTATCAAGTTTACAGCTCCAGAGGGATAAGAGCCCATCGTGGTAGGGAGGCGTGACAAGAGGCACAGGAGGGGCTGGAGTAGAACGTTGAGCGCTACATCTTCAAGTAGGCACCGGAAGCAGAGCAAACTGGCAGTGGAAGTGGCCAGGAGCTCTCCAAGCCCCAACACACTGCCTGTCCCACGGTCTACCTCACCAGAAATGTTTGCTTTTTGGAAAAGCTGAAATTCAGATCAATTTTCCCTCATTCAGGCTCAACCTCTTCTTTCCTTAAAAGCATCACTGTGCCTTTGCATGTCAGCTGAACTAACTTGTTTGTCCTAAACACACAGGAAGAGTGAACACTCTGCTTTGCCTTTTTGCATTAAACAGCCCTTACCTTTGGGTGACGTTTATTCCATGGCATTGAAGATTTTTTGATCAATACTGCCACAAAGAACCCTCCAGTATTCTGATGATGAGGTAATATTCTAAGGCTAAAAATATACGATAAATATTGTGTAAATGATCCCAAAGCATTCTTTTAGTATTAGACAGACTACACCAAGATGATCTGATGTGACCTTCCCACAAATACTTAGCCCTTATTCACAGGCAGCCCAGATGCCATCTGTACAAGGGACATGGAAGGGAAAAATGGGGAAGACAAAGGCAGACACAAGGAGGGAAGGAACATGGCAGTCAAGGTAATGAGATGCATGGAAATGTCCTAATGAAGCCCATTACTTTGCACAAATAATACAAAGCAGTTCTAAACAACCGTGTTTGTAAATGCTGCGTGCTACCAACCAATGGGCACCAAGAACACCTCACTTGGAAGGTTCTCACACTGGAGGCTGCCATAGCCCCAATCCCAAGTAAACTTATTTGAGGCCTCTAACTCCTCCCAACTAAGCTCACTGGCTTGACAAACTGTCCCACTACCCCAAACTCTGCAGTGTCCACAAACTTACCACCGCTCTAGGTGCATGGCCTGCAACTTCTCCTGGTCCTTCAGTGGAAACATGGTAGGTCGAATTTGGGTGTGCCTGCCCTGGGGAACCTCATCCCAGTCTGCAAACCACTGCCCATCTCGAGTCATGACCTGTAAAGGAGAGGCCCTTTCTAGACCTGCAGTTCTACTATAATGAAAAGGCCCAAAGTACACAGGGGGATGTACGAATGCCCCATGAATGCTCCCCACACCACAAAGTCTGTCTCTCCAAAGACAGAAAGACTCTTTGCAAAGATAAAAATCAAACATTCATGGCAAGTTACACAGCATCTATTGACAATAATGAAATACTTCCATTCCAAAGCCTAGGGTAATGTTCATAAAATCCCACTATCCACACAGGTTTCCTTTTGGTTTTTAAAGCAAGTCTTAGGTTGTTTCAGGCATGAAGCTGTAAGATAAATTTGAAACCAAGCTTGGATTTCAAATCACAAAAAAAGACAGCAAAGCTGTACTTATGGGCATGAGAGCAGCAAAGCTGGGCTCTAACAAGGAACAAAAGCAAAGGCACTTCCCCACTGCCAGAGGAAAGCATACATGCAATCATTCCATCTGTACAACCAGATGTCGCCTTGACTCAACACCCAAATGTGAGTTTTCCAACTTCTGTGGCTCCTGCATCTGCGAAGCTGCCCCTGGTCCTCTGAGTGTAGCCCTTATCACTACAGGATTACCTTCCACTGTGAGACTCCAGGCATCCACTTCAGTCCAGGCAGCTCAGTAGATACATCAGCAAGCTCCAAAGCACCTATACATAACGAAGAAATGCAGAGGCATGCCACCCCACATCCTTTAAAGGAACCAGAAACGAGGGTCACATGCAGCATGGCTCCATTTCCAAGTCACTGGCCAAGGAAAGCAAACCCACCAACAGAAAATAGGTCAGTGACAGCTGGGGTTGGAGCAGGACAGAGTGCTAATGGCCATAAAGAGCCTGCTGGGGTGGGTAATGGCCTTAAATGAACTGTGGTGATGAATATTCAGCTAAGTACATTTACCAAAAGTCAACTGGCTGTATACTATTATACATAAGTGTATGCTGTGTACTTAAGAGGTAAATTAAAACTCAACAAAGGTGCTAACAGACATTACTGCAGTTGTACGGAGATGCGAAGGTGAATTCCATTGAGCTACTTGCTGCCTGTGTGCCCCCACAGCTAGGATTTGAAGGGTGGGGTCTAGATATATTGGTCAGTTGTCTCTTTTAACAGACACCCCAGAATAAATTCCAGTCACCCAGTTTTAGATCCTAAGGTGTATTCTAAAATTGCCCACAGGTGCCTGGATTTTAAACACAAAAGGACAGCAGCTATGAACACTCGTTAACTGTACTGCCTCCAGTAGTGACACTCTAAGAAACTGTAGGCCAGGCCATTTTGGTTGGCCTTAGACAGCTACCACCATAGACTCGAGGGAAACCAACAAAGCTCCACGGAGAATAGAAGGCCAGAACTGTAAAAGCAAAGCAAAGGGTTCCCGAGGGCCCACCTGCCAGCCACCCTCACAGAAGCACATCGCTTCCTGTTATTCCTCCTTCAAAGCCACCGTGATCTAACAGTACAAGCACAAACACTGGTTTTTCTAGTAAACACTGTCCAGTGGCCTTATAAACAGCAAAGCTGGGGCTGGAAAGATGGCACAGTGGTTAAAAACACTGACTGCTCTTACAGAGGACCTGGGTTCGATTCCCAGCACCCACATAGCAGCTACAACTGTCTATAAGTCTAGTTCTAGGGGAATCCAATGGCTTCTTCTGACCTCCATGGGCACTGCACGACACAGGTGCACTCACATACATGCAGGCAATACACTCATACACATAAAACAAACAAACAAACAAACAAAAAACAACAACCACCGCAAAGCTGGCCTCAGGTGGTGTGGTGGTTTGAATGAGAATGTGCCCCATAGGCTCCAAGTATTTGGACATTTTGTGCCCAGTTGGTGGCGCTATTTTGGGAGGTCTCAGAAAGTGTGGCCATGCTGGAGGAAGCCCGTCACTAGGGGTGGGCTTGCTGGATCTCGAGTCCCTCTCTTGTTTCCTGTGCCTGCCTGAAAATGTGAGCACTCTGCTTTCTGCTCCTGTTCCAGCTGCCTCCTGCCACCACGCCTCCCTGTCTTGACCAGCTGTAATTCCCCTGGAACTGTAAGCTCAAATAAACTCTTCTACAAGTTGGTCAGTGTTTCTATCACAGCAACAGAAAAGTGACTAATACAGGTGGGCTCCAGCCAGCAGAAGCTGCCACTCCCCCAGCATGCAGTGGGCAAGCTCAGGCGATGTCTTCCTCCAGCTATGGTTCCAGCAACTTCCTGCTTCCTCACTGAGAGTGCTTGTGAACTGAGTATCTGATATTCTCTAAGTTTCCTGGTTACCTAAGCACTCTGGCTCTTCTCACTGCCAGGTCTGTGCTTTCACTGGGGTCAGTTTGGTGTGGTTAGTACCTGTTCCAGGGAAGAGAACTGCTCACCAAGAAACCAGGCAGTCACTTTTTTAAACAGACAAGAGGCAGCAGTAAAACAAAGCAGTCTGAAATCCCTCAGATCCTGCAACTGCCTTAAGGGTGCTATTTCTACAGGGCTAGTGACCAAATCCAGGGCACATTAGGCAAGCTTGCTTAGCCCTCCGTTTTTTTGAGAGTGACTCCCGTGTAGCTCAGACCAGCCTGGAACTCCAGCCTTCTGCCTTCCTCTCCCTGAGCGCTGGGATAACAGGTATCAGATAGGCGTGCAGATAGTGAACACAGAACTGACTGCTTCTCAGAGTACAGGACAGATATGGCGTATGTTGGTGCTCAGGCTACCCAGAATCTTGTTTTCCTAAGGACCAGATACCACAGGACTTTAAGTAAATCTGAAAAAGTTCAACAGCCCTGACTCCACAGCTGCAGGTAGGATTTTACTGCAGTGTCCTCCACTTCATGCACTTTTGAGGTTGACAACTACCAAAACCACTGCTCCAAAGCACTCAGAGGAGGACTGACTGCACAGCCCAGACCAGCCACAGCCAAGACAAACCTGACAGGAGAACCCAGGTACTTCCCTAGCTGTTCCACTTATTACATGCCTGTGAGGATGGCAAAGTGGAGACTCTGTTACTGGAACATGGAAGACTAGCATCTACTCTTAAGTTAGTGAATGGAGGAAAGTTAGCAATTCAGAAAAACGTTCAGAGTGAAATCATCTAACTAACCACTGTGGAAGATGCCATTTTGGCAGTTTATGCTCTCATCTGGTCCCCCATTGCAACACAGTTGACCTCACACCCGAAAGATGGGGGCTAACAAGCAAAACAGAAAATCACAGCACTGGCGCAGGTGCCAGGAACCCTTATGCATGGAAATTCCAATGATGCTGCACTATAAAGAACATTCCAGTGAGTCTTCAACACATGAAAGTCTTACCAGAGCAACCCACCTTCCAGATGTGCATCCAAAAGCATGGAAACCAGGGTATCTGAGAGCCACATGTCTACAGTCCCAGCTCTGCTGTTTATAAGGCCACTGGACAGTGTTTGGTAAAGAACACGTCTGAGAGCACTGCTAACAGAGCCAAAAGTGGAAGAAATCCAAGTGCCCATCCGCAGGCGAGTGGGTCAGCAGTAGCTTACACAGAACCCCGCAATACTCAGCTTGGCAGCCAGGAGTGACAGAGAAGGAACACAGGGACTCCTTAATGAGAAAGAGTTTCTGCTTCAGAAGACAGATAAACTAGAGTGGTGTGGTGACGGCCACAGTGACATCAGTCTCTGAACACCACTGAGAAAGCAGGAAGGGGAGCACTACTCTGACTTGAGCACAGACTCCTTTGTTTTTACACTGCCACATTCCAAACACCGCAAAATATGACAAACCCATCACAGAAGCACATTTTTAACTCCAATCCCTCTTTTAGGGTTACGGTTACAGGCTGAACATACAAGCACAGAGTCAGAAATACATACAACTGCAAACAACACTGAAGAGCCTCGCTCCAACTGAGCGCACGCACCTTCACTTTTCTCCAGCAGAGACGCTATGACTGCTTCATCCTCGATGGGGTTTAGTGAACAGGTGGAGTACACCATCCTGCCCCCCTCAGTCAGCTGCTCGGCACCTCGTGTTGCAATCCGCAGCTGTAAGCTAAGGGAAGAACCCAGGTTAACACAGAAAACAGCTCCAGAGCACACATGCTACAAAGCAGACTAATCATGTCACATACAAGTTCTTACACTTTGTAAATTTCTCTATTAAAACAAGTTCCACATTTCTTTTTAATTTCTGTTTATTTTTATGCATATGAATGTCTTGCCTGCATGTATGTAAGTGCACCCGTGTTCCCGTGTTGTACAAAGCCCACAGACTCCAGAAGAGGGCATCAGATCCCCTGGAACTGGAATTATAGATAGTTGTTAGATAGCATGTGGGTGCTGGGAACCAAACCTGGGTCCTCTGCAAGAGCAGCCTTTACACATTTCTTCAGATATGTATTATTTTCTATGGAAAATTTAAATCCCTTCCTACCTTCGAATTCTTTCCTCCATTTTATAAAACCAGTGGTATTTAATAAAAAAATTAACTTGCTAAAATTATTTGCAGTTTTTACTGGTCTAAAGGATGTGTGCTTTTCATGTTAAACGAAAAAACACCAAGTTCCACAAGAAAAGCTATAAACGCTGTTCTGAACAGTCACTTCGGAAACACCAAGAAGGAACAGAAGCTATCAGAAGACTAAGAGTAGTAACATCAGAATAACGGTCATTTCATGAAAAAAAAAAAAAGGATGTTTCAAATATGTGAACTGCTCATAAATGCATTTTAAACTAGTACACATCTTAAAAGCATAAAAGTTATAACTCTTGGAGAGGCTACTTCTGTATGCCAGGAGAGCGGCTGCAGGTGCTTACCGTAGACAGACATCCGCTGCTCAGCTACTCAAGGGAACAACATGACTTTGGTAACCAAGGATATTCACTTACCCATGGAGCTGCAGGCTATTCATAGTGCTCCACTTCTTCCAGACGTCCGTGTTCTTTCTTATGGTGCCATCTCCACTGGAAGAAGGTATTTAACAAACTGAACCTCTAAACATATAGATGCTTAATAGGCACGTCATATTCAAGATGAATTGCAAAACAAGTATTATAAATGGCAGCTTAAGACAACCTCAATTCTCACAAAGGACACCAACTTTCTATTTCTGTTTTATGGATACCATGAAACTTTTTTAAAACCATACTTCAACTTTAAATCCAAAAGGAAATAATAGATTTGAACAGAAATGCTCACTTAAACAGGTCAATTTCTGCCATCTAGGAGAAATTCAGGTTACAAATCTCCTTATAAAACTCACTTCAATTTCAGGAATGTCTTCAGCCTATACCAAGCACTTGTAAGGGCACTTTAGTCTCATAAAAAATGAAGTTATGCCGGGCGTGGTGGCGCATGCCTTTAATCCCAGCACTCAGGAGGCAGAGGCAGGTGGATCTCTGTGAGTTCTAGGACAGCTGGGGCTACAGGGAAACCCTGTTTCAAAAAGACCAAAAAAAAAAAAAAAAAAAAAATGAAGTTACTTTTCCAATAAAAAGAACACACAGGGACGATTAACATGGGACCCCCAAGGTGAATCAGAAAACTGTAACCAGGGGAAAAAAATAATTTAGTTCATGACTAATCTCTTTAGTTTTTTAATCTATTTGACAGTGTAATAGTTTTACTTACCCTATTGCAAACTACTTAAGGTAGTCCACGTTTTAAATTTTACTCAAGTCTGAAGTTCGTTTTTTAGGCGTCTTTCCTCTGCCATACCCAGTGCTGCCAGGGTAACTTTCAAACTGGGTCCTGCCACAAGCAGAACGTGTTAAACGTGGCACCCTTCCGCAAAGACGTTTCTTAAGTGCGGTATGCTGATGGGTCCTGGTCTCCACAAACCCATGCTGTTTGGGTGTTAACTCAGGCCCACGACTGCCCTCTGAACAGACATCTGTAACTGTGCAGCCTTTCCTCTGGAAAGTCATTCACTCTTTCCAGGTTTTTACACCAAGTCCAATTCTCTAGCATTTATGCTGTAAAATCTGATGAAATGTCTAAAGATGCAGATCAATGAATTTCTCAAAGCTTTTGACTTTTAAATTTCTTCACTTTACTAAACAACAAAATTTAGTAGAAAAACTCAAACTGATTGTGATTATTGTATGACCAGGCTCCCTGCAGACACAATGGAAGAGCAACGCTTGGGAAGCAAAACGGTCCCCAGGTGCCTGAGACACGTAATGTCTTCCGTCTGCTTTTGGAGCTGCTCATAAAATACCTGTTCTACAGCCAGCATCGTGCTGAGCTGTCTCACTACCACCTCCAGGTCCTTTGGTTCAAGCTCACCACATCTTTCTCCACACTCATGGCCACAACAGCTACCCACACCAGCATGTGCTCGTGTGCAGCATCTTTCCATCTGTGACTGGATTTCCTGGTGCGTTTGGGGCTTTCTGACCACCTATGTAATGTAAGTACCTGCAAGGCACATCGCATAAAATCCGGTCGTAGAAGAGAACCTCTTTCTTTCCGTCCACATCTATGGTGAGTCTCGGTATGCTGGATGCATCATGGTTTACCACCATGATGCAGGGGCTGCTCAGCCTTTTGGCCTGGTGAACGAGCAGGTAACAGCGCTTGTTGTCCACGTCATTGGCAATAACAAATCCCTCTGGGAACATGAAATGGTAGTGTGAAGTGGAATCATTTCCCAAAACACACAGCAACCACCTCCAGGCTGACCAGATCACAGCAGAGGGGTGCTCCATGAAACCTAAGACCTGAGGCCCAGACTGCCTAGAAACAGCAAGTGCTGTTCCTACCCAACCCCCGTCCCAAAAGAACCCAGCTGGCTCTACAAGGGTCTTATGGAGTACGGAAACTCAAAACCACAAGCAACACTTCACTTTGTACTGACTGTTGCGCTAATGACTTCCTTTTCAAAGATTATGGTCCATTTGTTCCAAGGGAGGGGAGGAGAAAGGTGCAGGGAAAAGAACCACCAAAAGAGGTAAAACCCTGCCCACACGCAGGGCTCTGCTCTACACTGAGAACCAGACTCCAGGCAGAGCACAGAAGCTGGTCCTGGGATGTGCTGCTCGCTGTGCCCTCCTCAGGACCACCTCTGGGAAGTTGCCGAGTACTGCCCCTGCCTTTTCTAGTTCTTTGTACAACCTTGGCAGAAAGGCAAATACGTCCAACAGCATTTGAAATCAGGACCAATCTTCAAAACAATGCGACGTGCTAATCAGCAATAACACAGAGGGAAGCGGCTCTTGCCAACTCAAGGGTCTTCACAGCCCATATAGAAAAAAATTATTAAAAACAGAGAAAGATTTTTTAGTGAAATCATTCTCTGAGTAAAACAAGGTCTTAAAAAAACAACCACAAAGGCAGGGGACTACCCACACAGCTGATAGGAGCATCTATTAAACATTGCTGGGACAGCTGGCTCGGAGCTAGCAAGCAGGAGAGACAAAAGCGGCCTTAGCCAACGCTGGATGCTGCTGGTCTTTCAGGAGAATCCCCACGAAGGGCCTCAGGTAGACTGCAGTCATGGCCACCCGTGAGCATTCTGCAGTCTCCCCACACGGTACACAATCACATCCCATTTCAAATGTAGCGTCTACTGCCACCCACAAGCAGCTGGTGAAAGGTCAAGGAATCTGAAAGGCGGGGGCCTGACAGCAGTTCGGAACAACAAACTGTTTCTCACCCAAGGCAGAACTGACAAAAGCTGGGGTGGGGAGGGTCCGAAAGGTGTCACTACTGAAGTTCAGTTTGTGACACCCACCTACTCTCAGCAGGCTGGACAAAGCACTCCACCATTTCTGCTCATAGAACGCACACTCTCTAAAACTGAGGGGGCCTCAAATTCTGTGTGCATTGTTCCTAGAACTTGTGTCAGTAGTAAGCTAAAGTGCCCAGCTCTGCTGTTAGTATGTAAGGAGCAGCCACAGGAAACTTGGCAGCCCAGTGGGAAGGCAAAGCGAGGATCTTTTCCTGCCCAAACCCACTCACGGAGCTTTCCTGTCCTCTAGTGATTACCTGGAAAGGGGACATTCATGTCAGCATGCAGCATTTCAATCAACTGTGTGGTCTTCGATCCAGGGGCTGCACACATATCTAAGATCTATGAACAAACGAGAAAGTGGCTGAGTTAAAAGACTGCTCTACATTTAATTTAAAACAATTTTTATGAATCCTTCTAGTATTCTGGTCTGTATTCTAAGACCTGCACTGCACCTCTTCACAGATGGGACCAATGTTCTATATTCCTTACAGAGATCGCATCAGACCAATGCCTCCACCCTGGCCCGAAGACACTCAGAATGAATGGTCAAGGTACAGTCTCCACAGGGGATGAACACAGAACAGCACTAGAACCCATGAAACTCATCGAGTGAGAGAGAGACAGAGCATTGGAGTGCCATGCGAAGTCTCAGCTCTGTACCCAGGGCCCAGTTACTTCACTTTGCCTCCTTCTCCCCATCTAGAAAATTCAGTGATGGCCTGTGCCCCTAGAGGGCTATGTGGACAAAAGGAATCAATCAGTTCACACAAAGATTATGGACCAGTGCTTGGCACCAATGAGCTTTATAGATTTCAGTGAGATTTAGCCAGTGAGGAGCACTCAAGATTACCTGAATAATTAACAAATAAACTTTAAAAGGGAAAGAATGCGTATTATAAAACAGAAGTATAAAATACCACCTAAAATACATACCATTCTGTGTCAAAAAGGAGGGTCAGAACTAATTATACTTAAAGGCTGCAGCAAAACAAACCCCCAGCCCTCGCAGCCCCACCCGGCTGTCTTCCACCGGCACACTACCTTATGGTGTGGCTGAACATGAAGCAACAGTGGTGGGATCATGCTAACGGCCTCCTGCCGACTGATATAGCCCTGGAGGAGAAAAACCGGCAATAAGATGGACAGAACACTGCAGTATCAGGCAACAGCAGAGGCTCACAGTTTTACAAAGAACACGTATTTACCAGCACACAACATACTGAGAAAAAAATCTTTACACATTACTGGATAATTGGCTGCTATTTAAAGCTAATTAAAAAGGACCATTAACATCAAAACTAACCACGAGAAGGTTACACATAGTTCAGGTGTGATGCTGGTTTAGTACCTGGTCTCAACTCTTACACGGGTCAGGTGCGCACCTCTCAGAAGAGGCCTGCTCGCTGAACAGCAGCAAGGAGCAGCAATCTAATACAGGACAGAAAGTGACTGCTGGGCAATTGGTCTTATTCTCCAAGTCCAGCCTCCCTTGCTCGCTCTTTTCAGGACCCTCCAGGCCCCCTTGCTACCTCCAAGCAACTGCCGAGCAGACATCAGTTACTGCTGCCAGCTCCATGGTTTGGACAGTGATTATCATCCTTCTAGTCTTTCTCAAGAGGCCAGGGCATGAGAGCCAGAAGACAGCATTCAGCTGCAGGCAGAGGCCTCCGGCTGCAGGCCAGTACTGCCTTGTCACAACCCTACCAACAGCCTAGAAGGTACACTGGCCGCCCACAGACCATTTGTCTTCCAGCACCTGAAATGCTGGCCAGGCATCTGCTATACAGCACAGTGGGCAGAAAGAATGCACACTCAGACCTTCCATTGCACCTGTTCACCTGGGTTCCTGGCTCACCTGCACGCTGCTCCAAGCTTCTGGTTAAACAGGTGACTCTGGTGAGCCTGCCTCCTGCCTCCACCCTAGCTTAGTCACTGGACTAACACAGTGAACACACCCCAGAGGCTGTGGCGCCAGCTCTGACCACCTTAGCTCCTGATCAAAATGGAGAAGGCTTCCTTCCTAGCACCCGCCTCCCCTTCCCAAGCTGCCCAAGCCTCACTCTTCAATACCCAACTAGCTGCATATCACACTGGTCCCCACACAGCCTCTGCTCCATTCAAAGCACAAACCCCAAATTGCTCCCTCATGGCTCGCTTAGCTTTCCTCAACATCTCCTGTAAGAGCCCAGCAGAGCCCAGCACAGACGGGCACCTGGCAGCACTCTGTCCTTTACACTACCCAGGGAGGGAAGGCAGGTGTGCAGGAGCCCGGAGTAGCAGCTTACCTCTGTGGACAGAAAGCCACGCTGCTAGGAAGCAGCCGGGAGGGAAACAGCCAACAGAACTGAACAAGGTAAATGACTCAAGCAAGCTGGTGACGGCTTCAGAAGAAAGACGGGAAGCACAGAATTTCTGAAAGCCCCATGAATAAGAACACATTGTCTAGGGGCTTCAAGGGGTTTGCATGGCTTAAGAATGGAGACAGGAAAGAGGAAGGAGAAAAGCTCTGACTATGAACGTGAGATGAAGAACGAAAAGGAAAAGTACAGGGTGCCTACATACCTACTGCAGGAAATCATTTGTTCTGGGATGGCTGGAGGATAGAGTTCAGCGGCCAAATCTAGCCAATCCATCTAACTCAAAGAACTCAGGAAGGGCTGCACTCTATGAGCACCACAGCTATACCTTAGGTATATAAACTTCCTTTTTTTAAAAAAACATTGGCAAAGGTTAAGTGCTAGAATAATATGTGATGAAAAAAGTAAAGATAAAATGTGAAACTAAGACAGGCGGATCTCTGTGAGTTCAAGGCCAGCCTGTTCTACATACTGAGTTCCAGGACAGCTGGGGCTACGGGGAGACCCTGTCTCAAAAAAAAGATCCCCGCCCCCAAAAGAAAAAAGCTAAAAGTGTTATTATAAATCAAACAGATTTTAGAACTCTCCACAGTCCCCTAAGGAGCCTTAAAAACCCACTTTTCATGGATGCCAAGCAAACGGGTATGCGCCAAGAGCAGAAGTAGACTGAGCAGTGGCACCGATCAGCAGAGCACGCTGCTCACCCACAAGTCCACGAGGAAGAGACGGCAAGTCGGCTCACAGCAATGGGAGGCACTACGAGCCTCAGTACGTGATCCCAACTAGGTCACAGGTAGGTAATGCTGAGAAACTAAGACTGGGGCATTGTCTCCCAGAGCCTCAGGACAGCAAGGGAGCCTAAGAAACCTACTCACAGATTCAGTTTCGCTGACCAGGAACTGATGAAACTTTTCCAACTGTGGAGACTTTCTCAAGATTTTTCGACTAAGGTTTGTATGCCAGGCAAGTTCTTCAGGATACCTAAATAAAAAGAAAGTAAAATGCTCACAAACTACAAACAGGGCATGTTAACAGATATTTAAATGCATGACATAGACCCTTTAGTTTCCATTTCTAAACAAACCACTTCAATAATTCTCAAATAAAAGGGCTTCCATACAAGATCAGGCCCATAAATCAAGCTAACCTGAAAACCACCGATGCATGACTTTAACTCCTAGTCCACTGTCATCTGCACAGACCTCAGGACAAAGCACCTCCTACCATGTGTGTCCATGTATGACGACAAGTCATTGACGGGGAGGCTTCTCCACTTGGTTCTCACCTACTGGCTCTACACATGCACAGGCCAAGATGCTGACGAAACACACAGCACCTTGCTCAATCAGCCTAACACCAAGCAGTCGGGTGGTGACCAACTGTACTGTGTGGTAATGCTTACTGTTAAGTGTGAGGTATGATAATGAATTCAGTTTAACAATGCACAGTCACAACGGTTCCATGCATCCAGTGGTGCTGGGAAAGTGAAACTGGGCTGACGGGAAACAGACACAGTGACGGATGGGAGGCTTGGTGTGACAGAGACAAACAGGCTTTGACCGTCTCAGATGCTGCTTAGTAGCTGTGCTGCCAGAGTTCCTAATAAGCTTCCTCCTCATGCACAGACATGTGTTCTGAGGTTACGGTCCACTGTGTATAGTTTCTGCTTTACTTCCTGAGAGATTTCCAAGCATCCAACACTGACAAGTAAAGGTGATTAAATAAATATTTATAAGATAAAGCTGACAGTCATCGATAACAGGAAAAGTATTAGGACCCCAAACTAGTCAATCTTGCTAATACTCCAGTTAAAGCCACTGGCAGAGCAAGACTCATTTTCATTCTTTGTCACAACCCACACATACCGTACAGCAAACGGGCTTCAGCTGTCTAACGGGCTGTTAAAGTCAAACATTTCTCAGCATTACCTGCAAAGTGCACAATAAAATAACTACAGTGGAGTGCCCGAGTGTCCCTGCAGGTATGTGCTGAACATCCTCCTGAGCCAAGGCCAAAGCGCAGACTTCCTCATCTGCAAAGCATTCCTTCCATGTCACTGCACTTAACAAAGTTTAAGGAACAAATGTTTACAGCTGACATGTAAAGCAGCAAATTCATGCAAAACTAAGCTGTCAGACGTCCTCCACTTCAAACAGTGCATATGCCCATGACCACCAGTCTGATCTTCAAGTCAACTACCTTGCAGCACTAGGAGGGAGGACACTAGACCCCATGAAGGCTTCTGTAGCCTCGTTACCCACAGCAGCTGAGAACATCTTCCTTCCCACCGAGGACTATGGTGGACATGCAGTTAGTGGCCCGCAGCAGCAGCCTGCACCTGAGCCATCGCCCTCTACTGCATTCTCCAAGCTAAATCAAAATCTAACTAATTGAATTAAAATCTAACCAAAATGCATAATATGGAAACAAATAATTTGAGGGGCAGAAAACTCAAGATCTTTATCCTGGCTGCACACTGATTTTTGTGTTCAGAACTCAGTTCTCATTTAAAATGCACATCTATGCATGATTATTCTAAGGGCATTGCAAATCTAATGACCAGCAAGAGAAGGCAAGTGATACTACATGATTAAAAGTAACACAGTCTTGTAGTCAAAACCTCCAAAAAGTTGCCAAAAACTTAATAGTTCCTATAGCAACTATTTAAAACACTGTTTTCTATTGTGACAATTCTCAGTATCGCCAAAATATGGGATACAAAACAGCTACTAAAATCTTAACACAGGGCTTGGAACCTCTGGATTATTACGGAGCATGCCAGGCACTGCACAAGGTGGCCTAGGACCTGGGCAGAGGGATGAGCAGGAAATAACCCAGAAGACATCTGACAGGTAAAGAAAGGGCTAACTCAGGAGCGGGAGTGCCTGGGTGCTGGAGAATGAAGACAGAAACCTGCCTGAGACGGGAAACAATGGGACAAGTCCTAGCAGACTGGTGAGCCTCTGCCAAGCTAAGTCTGTCCTGGGGCAGACAGAGATCCTACCCTGTGGCAGTTCTGCAAACAGAAGGGAAACAAACTACTCGATGCCATCAAGGAAAGGGAGAGGCTGAACAACAAACGAACAGTGACAGAAATGCCAGGAGCTGCAAGTCATTTACAAAGCCTATCACCAGGGCAGTGCTGACCAAGGCACCTGGGAGAAGCGTGTGGGGAGAGAGCCCCGCGCTGTAGGCTAAGGCAAATGCAGCAGACCGCATGGTACCTACCAACTCAGTGGCTCTGGAACTTTCACTTTCTGACCATCCACCTCCAGATCCTCCAAGTCCTTAAAATACTTGTTCTTCAAGCAGTGGAGAATCTCTTTTGCATGGCTATTGAAAAATAAGCACGGTTTAAGAGATCTGAAAAGACAATACACTGCATCTTCTGGATTTCAGACTCCAAATATTTTAAAACTAAAACCAACTTGAGCTAGACAGATGGCTCAGTGGTTGGTGGTTAAGAGCACTGGCTGCTCTCGCAGGGGACCGAGGTCCGAGTCCCAGCACCCACATGGCAGCTACTGACCATCCATAAGCCCAGTTCTGGGGGATCCGACGCCCTCTTCTGACCTCCGTGGGCACTGTATGACACGGGTGCACTTGCATACATGCAGGGATTACACTCATACATATGAAATTTAAAAAAGAAAACCTAGGGGCTCAGCGTGGTGGCGCAGGCCTTTTATCCCAGCAGGGGCGGGCTGATCTCTGTGAATTAAAGGCCAGCCTGGTCTACATAGTGAGTTCCAGGACAGCTGGGTCTAGAGGGAAACCCTGTCTCAAAAAGACCAAAAAAGAAAGAAAAACTAAAACCATCTCTGCACTTAGAGATGGAATGTAGACGCCCAGGCCTGTCCAACCTTCCGACACTGTGACACAACGTTGAGATTTACAAAGTTCAATTTGGGAAGCAACACAACAGTCCCCATAATTTGAAAGTTTACTATTCTGTGTTGGGCCACAGTTTGGACTCAATGGCCGGAACGACAATGTACATGCAACACTGTACTTCTACCTGGTTTCACTTTTACTTCCAACAAAATCTTGAAGTTGTAACCAGGATGGGAAAGAGACAAATTCGATGTCAAAGACGATGTTTCCCACCCGTAGTGCGGCTTCCCCCCGGAGAAGCACGCGGCCCAGCCTGTTCGCGATCGCATTCGCGCCCACCCCCCCGCCGCAAGCCTCCGCTAAGCTGCTTCTCAGCCCCGGGGCGACAATACCTTTTGTAACCCGTGATCCTCAGCGTGGCGGGGAGCGGTTCCCGCAGTGCGTCCATGAACTGGTCCCACTCACCATCGGGCACGATCTTCAGCTCCTGATAGTACTGCTCAAACAGCTTGTTCTCCTTGACGATCTCGGGGTAGCCGCCTTCCCAGCCCTGCAAGGGAAGCCGCAGGTGAACGGGCGCGGTCCGGGGTGCCCCGCAGGCCTCCCTCGCAGCCCA